AAAGTACTTAAACTTATATGTTGTTCATTTATTATTTCAATCAATTTTTTATTGTCAATTTACAAACTCTTCGAGCATTAAAATCTGAATCAATATTCCTGCCATTGGTTCACGTGTTTCTCGGATAAACATCAATAAGGTGCAATTTTATTTGAATTTCATTCTTAGACTCCTCATTCTGTTTCTTATTCTGAATTTTTCCCACTTTAGTTTCATTTCGTTTTAGTTTATCATGCGCTAGTTCCTCGATTCAAACGTTTGTACTCGCCCATTATTTCAGATAACGAGATTTCTTGCTTCTCGCCAGCGGACGATGAATGCTAATGCCATGCCCGGGAGCATGACGAACCGGATAAATTATACTGCGGCCTGTTAATCGGTTCGTTCGATTAACTTTAAAATTGGACACCTTGTTTACCGAGACGAATTGCGGAATTCGTTCAACGACACTGGCGTCGTAATGCGTGAGAACCATTTGCAAAGTGATCATGAGTACGTATGTATGTAATCAGAACGGAGAAATCATTCGCAGAATGAAAGGGATCACGATTGTCGCGTACGGATATATTGTCTGGGAATCGTTAACAAAAAATGGTTGTTACTCTGATTGCTTCAGTCGATGCTCGCACGAGCATTAATTTCGATGTTCGTAAATGAAACACATTTAGCTTTATGTATGCAATTATACACCTACTCGAAGTGTTTTTTTCTTATCGAGGATACGTGTTTTAACAGGTATTTCTTGAAATTGAAATAAGAGGAAAACCAAGAATGACAAAAATGTTGTTCTATCTAGGTTTTTCATTTATTTTCAGTGAGCCAATGGAAACTTGTTTGTGTGTCTCAAACTTTCCCGTGAAATTATTTCCGCACTTGAACTGACCTGCCTCACGAGCGACGTTATTGATTATACTGGTTTACATAAGTTCAATGTAAAATGTCGATTATAAAGTTGTTTGTACACACTTGCATTATAAACGCATATATTAGAATACTTTTATTCGAGGCGTAGCAAATATACAGTGACAGCCATTGCAACTCTTAGTCAGTAATCGTACAAGTTTGTAAAACTGTAAAACTTCCGATAATGCTTGACACTAAAACTACCGAGCAGTTAAACCGACTTTTTGAGATTCCTCTACAGAAACTCCACAGATGCACCTATCCTTTAATTGATTTACAATTCAATTTACATATTGCTAAACTAGTTTCCTTAATAATTTCCCAAAGGCACGCGTGTTGCCATTTTAATAATTCCAGGAGGAGAAATCAGGAACGGGTCATCTTGACCCGTCCGATAGTTTTAGTGTCACCAGAAACTAGTTAAAATTCATTCATAGAATATGCGTCGCGAATAAGTTCTAATGGGAGGACACTGTCGCAGATTGCGAACGCTCGTCCGTCGACGTAAAAGAGAGAATTACAACAGCTGTCCGACGTGATTTGTAGAAAACGGTCGCGCGATTTCTTCCTGCATTCGTGTACGGATGGAAATGCGGGATGCGTGTCAATCGAATAATGCTCTATTGGGGGATAATATACGATAACAGAGGTCGGAGTGCAGTGGGTTAGTAGAATAGGTGATAGAAGACAGGTTGCCCCACTATTGCACGTTGCGCATCATTCCGGACGCGACGCGACTGTCCCTTACTATCGCGAACACGCTTTACTGTTACGACCGTCTAGCCGTCTAGCCCCACCAGCCTTAGGGTACGATGTTGCTACTGGCAGAGGAGATCGGATCCGTTCTCTCGGAACTTTTCGATCGAGCCGAGAGAAACTCTTAGCGATAGTTACTAATCAATCAGGTATGGTAAACTTGAGGAAGTAGAAAGGTACGAGCGATATGCGGAGAACCGTTTCAATCGGCGTCTATCCGCAAAGCTGAATGACCGTACAAGGTAATGTATAATATTACTAGATAGTAAGCCTTTGCTGATTTTCATTCATAGAACACGAATGCCAGCGAACAATGCAGAATCGCACTGATAGGCTGAAGCATTTAAGGTGTTTGATTTTTGTGGTAGGAACTTCATTTTCTATGTGAAACGGGTGTAAACTATTGTTTTTAATGACCCTGGTTATAGTAAATGTGTTAATCAATGTAGAACAATATATATATAGTGGATATAGAAAAATGTTTGAGAATTTATTGTTTTCAATTTCTTAATTGGCAATGGTGAAAATAAGGTTATTTATGTCTAAGAAATTTTGTTTAATGCTGCGTCGTATTGGTACGTTACTATTGGCGAATTTATATTGAGATTGATGTAGTTGGAGTGTATAATTTCTTTTTGACTCCCTTGAAATTGTAATACATTAATTGTGCATTGTCGTTCTGTATAAAATATAGTTTTCGGATATAAAAAAACGATATTTTTATTGTAAATTCGTGTGCGGAAGTGTGCATTGGAGTGTGCACTTCGGAGAATTGTGATGGATACGTATGTTAGAAAGTAGTGTTATATAAAATATTTGTTTATAACAAAAATGCATAAAACAATCATTATACACATACATTGTTATTTTCAGAGAAATTAGAAACTGCATTACTTCATATATTAAATAAAAGGAAATAAATCGTATTAAAGGAAAGAAGTGTGTTTCCTAAATTTTGTTAGTAACTTTAAACGATTGTAAATACTTAAGTTAATCGTTTTTGTTAGTTTGATACGCGTTAAAGCATGAACTGCTACAGAAAGTGTAGAAAAAATAGTAGACCGTTAAGAAAAATAAAACATTTATTTCAAGTTCATTGAAAGAACGATCTATATCGGCAATCAAGCTTGTTGGAGAGGTACTTGAGCTGAAACCGGGTAACAGGTGCATTCCTCGCGATGGAGAAAACGAGAAGTTCTTATGATAATTCAAGTTTCTCTACAGGAGTTAAGAATTTCTTCCTGACTTCAAGGTAGGAACAAGGAAAACAGTATGACTATCTACTCTTATTAGAAAGGAAGTACCCGCGTGGTTACGAAACCATTTCCTAAAAATCGCACGTAAGCATTTCACATTAAAAAATAACAGAAGAACTGATCAGATCGCCAAGGAATAAACAATTACTGATTCGAGTGATGATACTAACTTTTGCTAAGCATTTTAAGTAACTTTCATGTATACATATTCTTTCCACTAAACATGGAACATTTTTTACTAAAGAGTAACATTTGAAAATCTTCCATTAAAATTTCGGAAATATTAATATTGAAACAAAACGTAACGATTGTTGAATGTTAAGTAACATATTTCTATCTCTAATGCAGCTACATGGCTTCTAGAAAATGTATGATAAATAATACAGATGGTTATCTAGAAACGAAAAGAAAATAAAAGATTCCGCATCTATATACAAATTTTATACATTCGAACTTTCTTAGCTAATTGTAAGAAAGAGTTTGTATCCATCAAACGAATGAACAAATATATTTTAGTTTATTCTGTATGCAAACACTTATAAACATCGAAACAATTGCTCATATCATTTTTATATAAAATCTTTTTATAAATTCAATTTTTCTGCACGTTTTCGGAAATATTTATTTTACTAGTTACGTTTATTACTTATGAGTCCTCTATTTTATTTGTGTAATTATGATTTCATACGTAGAAAAGTAAGGTATTATCAATGAAAATAAAAAGAAAACAATGATTATAATGGTTATTATAATATATACAAGGATCTCTCTATGTGAAACTGCGCACTGAACGAATACTCTTTACATCGCTGTACCAGGCATCGATATATTTCCTTTTTCGTAAATAAAATTATACGATCAATGGGGACGTTGAACTCGTATCGTTACAGCCTACCTGCCCGTAATAAAAAAAAAACTGTACCACGTGCTGTTTGAAAACTTCAACTGATCTTGAAAATGCCTCGACGCCTTCACTTGGCAAAGTTTCACTTGCACATTCCGCTGTCCCCTCCATTTATTTTAATCCCCTAACAGCAGGCTTTCCAATTCAACATACTCCACTAAATATCAGGTTTGTAGATGAAAACTTATAGATACGCAGGATATCCGGCAGCAGAAACACCAATTTCTTACGTGGAATTCTAATGAAAGTAAAATTTTCTTCTTGCATAATAAATCTCTTTCTTGCATTAATTCAATCGATTTTAGTACAGGTATTATTATATATTCAGATGAAAATATTCGCTTGTTTCTTAGAACATTCATATTTGTTGGTATTAAGGTTTAACTTAAAGGAAACTCATAAAAACGATAAATAAAGTAGTTGTTAATATCAGAAATAAATTTGCGCGATTTCAGCGATATTGTGAACCTGAAGAATTACTAATTAAAACACGACAATAACAAAGGATGAATACCATTCTGAAATTTTGAAACTTGAAATTTGAAATTTCGAAACCACTTGGTTGCAGAACTCGCCGCACCCCTTAGACATAATTATAATAATATCGACACGTTTAAAATGTAACTTTGCAAAGTTAAACTCTTTGGTACTCTAATATGTTCATGATTTAGTTTATAATATTTTACTAGACCAAATTAAACAGGTGTATCTTATAAAAATATTCTCTACTTATTTTTTTACACGTATTTTATATGAAACGTTGTAAAATAAAATTTTGTTACTAAAGGAGAAGATTTAAACATGGATTAGTTATAAGATTTTCTTAGGTACTTCAGCCTATTAAAGATAGTGTGTAACTATTGATCAGCGGACCAATTAAAAACACTTTATTGATCATCAGTAACTCCGAGCAAGGTATACTTAAATAATCACTGATTCTGGTTAAGTATCAATGAGTACCAATGAGTCCTCAAAACGCCCTGATGACGCCAGCAACAATGTTAGCGAAACATCGGGAAACAATTCCTGATGAACAGGACTTAGAAACTTTGACCATTTCCCATAGTATTCCTGACCGTGAAAGCCCCAAGCAAACAGTTCTAATGATTATAAATATTTATCACTGCGCGTAGAATACTAGCGGTTCTGTGATCAGTATCCATGAAGAAAATATATCTTACCATGTTTGAGTTTCCCGTTCTTGGTCAGGAGGAATGATAAAGGCTTAGGAACCGTGTCCGTGCACAAGCTATCGTGTTGATCTGTCCTTACACCGAAAAGAGCGTTCCTCCCCACTTTCATGTATTGTTTGCCCATCGTTTTGGGGGATCTGATCCCGAACAGTGACCCGATGAACTTCATCTTGAACTTTGCTTCTAGAAATCCCAGACGGTCGAAAATAACGAGTTTCCAAATCAACTTCAAACTAGTACGCCGTCTAATTGGCTCATAAGCGTATTCCTCGTGAAAGTTCTAGGATACCAGTTACAGTGTGATGACTCAAGGTAATTCGTCGTGTAATATTCAAGATCACGAGGATGATAATACGAGCGGTTATTTTTTTCACGTGCTCCTTGTAAAATTAGGTGCTCAAAGTAAATGAACGTTTTGTGCTCTGTTTGTCGTCACCGCACCATAGAAGTCTTCTTACAGATAATCTACGATGTGTTACGTTTCGAAAGTAGACTTCACGTGACTTCTCCGAACATCGTTTTTGGGGATGCAATCGACTCGGCACTGAAACGTAGACAGCGGATATAGGTTGTTCTTCGTAACAAGCAAAATTAATATCGGCTCTTTCTTCTTTGATGTTCTTCTCTTTTTAATTGATATTCTGGAATGAGTTTTTCACGTTCTTATCGTTTAATCGTGAAACCACCTGCTCAATGTTGCTGCTCATAAAGTTGTATCTTAACGTTTAACCCCGGCGCGCTAGTTTTTAAAAATCGCTGTGCACTTTCCTGAAACACAAAAATAGATTATCGTTACACGAGATGAAAAATAAATTTCCATGCGTAGTATAATTAGAAATACTCCGACAGTTTTAAGTGTTCTGAACATTTTTATAAATAATATTATTTTTTGAGTATAGTTCAAACCAATTTTAAATATCATCTGAAGTAGGATAAATATTGTACGAAGTACGTAGCAAAAAAATTTAATTGTTCTGTTTTAAATAATAACCCCTTCGTTACTGGAGAATTTAAAAACGTCTTGCCTTGTCTGGCAAAAATTGATTTCAAGGAAAACAAAATTAGTTCTTTAGTTATTGTAAATATTTAATTATTATTTATTATCACTTCGTGGAAGATAGCAGTTAATCCAAACTACGAGGTATCTCAGCAAATGGGTTAAAGTAGTTCGATCAGTGTTCACTTTGGACACGTGTATCTTTTTATAATTCAAAAAGAATACATTCAATGAATTATGTTTCTTGTTTTTATGGTGAATGGAATACATTCTCTAATCCTGATTGTGCATCGCAGAGTTACTGTAGATTTTATGACATTTACATTTGTTTCTTTCGACGCGCAGAAAGAATAATGATCGACGAACTCGTGGAAGTTGAAATAAACATTTTATATTTACATCACATCAAAGAAACAGTAAACATCAAGAACTTGTATTATGCTAAACGAGAATCTGAATTAGTCGCATCATAAATTCAGCGAATGCAAAGAAAAGAGGAATACAGGCAATTTCCAGAATTTTATGATACGCTTGTATGATGTACCAATGTTCTAAAGAAATAACACAAACGTTTGATGTTTCTGGCAGCAACGAAATGGAATTATAATTACAGGTTCTTGTCTACCATACATTTACTCACTAAACTCGGTTAATGTGTACATTATTTCATAGCAATATACGTATCTATTTCATCCGAAAGAACTGCCAACTTTTATATACCTGGTATTTACAATCAAAGTTATCACCATATTCTTTTAAGTATCTCCCATTCGTTAACCCCTTGTCCTACTGTTTATTTCTCAACTATGATCGCTACAACTACTCGGTCATTAATAATTTATCAAGAAAAAGTATCGAATGATAAACATATTCTATACCAATCTTTACTCCAGAGTATAATAATTGAGAGCAGAATAATATATCATTTGAATTCAAAAGAATCGAGTGATATTCATGCTTGTTAGCCAGTTAACTGTGTTTGACGAGTATAGACGTCATCTTAAAATTCTTAATGGTGCTAACTTTTTCAAAGATGGATTATTTATTTTTTGAGGTAAACATGTAACTCTTCTTCGTTTCGCTTTAGTTTTTCGTTAGGATATATTTTAAGTCCACTTGGCCTGCATTTAACGAGTATACACTTCATTATTTGATTTTATTGCGCGCACAACCAGAGATTTTTCAAACTAAATTCCACACTTGACCGGTTAAATTCTGTTTAAAATCTTCACGACAAGTCTGATGCGTTATTGTACAGGAAGGGGTTAGATAAACCGACATAAGTTGACTCAACACTTTTTAAAGAGATATTCCACTTTGTAGATCTAAAAACTGGACACTATTTTCCAAATATTTCCGATGATTATTAACGTTTGTAGAAAAATCTTACACACGTTTATCTAATTTTATTTACTTTCTCGTTGCATTTATATTTGTTTGTTCCGCAGACATGTTTTTGACTTATCGCAAATATCCGAAATGAGGATTTCATGTACAAGCCTCTATGTTCCATTTTGAAGAACAAAGGCAATTGTTCGAACAGTTGTTAGTCATGTTCTAGAAAAATCGACTTGTCGTTTCGAAAACGAAAATCTCGGGTCAGGTTTAATTAACGTATAAGTACCTACATTGGTTCGTTAAGTATCTTACGAGCTACAGAACAATGCCTCCATAAAACGCGTTTCTAGCGAAACACACTTGAAGCTCGATGCGACCGGTTCCCGGAATCAGTCCTTTAATTACAAGAAAGCTGGAGTAACTCCGCAAACGATTCTTCCTGTGCGTAACTGAATTATATTTTTCTGAATCCATAATATTCTATAAAATTCTATTTACTTAACCAGTTAAGTGTGGCAAATATTTGGCAACCAGCTGACCTGAAGTCTCCAGCAATAAAATAATGAAGGGATTTCATGTGATTTGACACAGTGAAATCATATAATCTGATATTTAATGTTAAACTTTGTATAATGCCTCGATACGTGAAATATTGGAATAAAATAGCTTTGTTCCTCAATGCACTTGTGATTTCTGTTCAAGTTAGTTTCAAAGAATATCGTCTTCGCCTCGTCAAAATATGTTAAATATTTCTAGTAAGAAACTTCCGAGTGCAAAGGTTTAAGTGTGGAATTTAGTTTGGAAAATCTCTCCTTGTGCGCGCAATAAAATCAAATAATGAAGTGTATACTCGTTAAATGCAGGCCAAGTGGACTTAAAATATATCCTAACGAAAAACTAAAGCGAAACGAAGAAGAATTACATGTTTGCCTCAAAAAATAAATAATCCATCGTTGAAAAAGTTAGCACCATTAAGAGTTTTAAGATGACGTGTATACTCGTCAAACACAATTAACTGGTTAAATTTTCATCTTCAATGAATTATAGGTCTGTCGTCGTATATAATTTTTTAATGATAGTCGACTTTAGGACAACGCTGCAGCAATATTGTGAAATTTGAAGCGATTGTTCAAGCCAGGGTCGCGTCAACTCGAAGATGCAAGGGTTGCACAGCACCAGGGCGGCAAAATCAAACATCTAATATTTATTTTATGAACATAATATCTAGTTTGTGTTATGCAATGGAATTGAAACATCATAATGTTCTTAAGTTTTTTAAGGAGAGGCTAATAACAGTGTACACCCGAGCGCGTCCTTGATTTATGCAAATTCAAGTAAACATTTGAAAAGGAAAGGGATTTAATTGAAAATTCGCGTGTCTACATGTGATACAATCTACATGGTTTGGAAATTTCAACATTATCTCCAAATATGAGTATCATAACAAAACAGGGAAGGTATAATTAAAAAATGAAAGAACATTAAATAACTAAAACAAGCAGGTTCTATGTTTCTGTCCTATTTTTCAATATTTTCCATTTTCTATGAACATTATTGCACTCGGAGGAAGTGTTGAATGCACTAATACATATTAATAATATATTGTACAATGAGCAATCGATCCAAACTTTCCAGCAACAGGTTTTTTCACGAATAGAACTTGCTACCATTCGAACTGCATACTTTGAAGCTGAGAAATCAGAGAAAGTCTGTAGAGAAATTGAAACCGTTACTTTATCGAAATTTTAGGCTAGCAGATTATATAGAAATAGATTATAGAACTTTAATATGCGTACAATATCTCCAAATATGAATAATGCAATGAATCTAAATTATATAACTAAACGAAAGCATACGTATATGAATTATTCACAAAGTTAATAATTTTATGAGTATCTAGATTGAAATTGGTTTTTTATACTGGCTACTGTATGACAATGCTTGTTCTATATATAATTCGATGTTACTAACAGAATGCTAATGTCTTATTTTATTATTAATGTAAATTATTATTATATATCTTTATGTAATATATAATATGTACAATAATTAATGTATAATGTAATGTACTTAAAGTAAGTTGAAAAAATTAGTAAGAATTAATATACAGAGTACCCATGTAATTCTGGTACAATTGGTTAATTCCACATGAAAAAATACATCGAAAAAGAGAAACAACATTTTTCATTTAAGCCCTTATTTTCATGAAATATGGGTTGGAAAATGTATAGAAAATTTTCGGTTTCTGTTAGAAAGGAATAATTGGAAGACTTATGGATAATTGGAAAAGTGAAAATATCGATTATAGTATATGGAAGCAATAATTTCTGTAGGTTCAATTATTGTGACAGTTTAATAAACTTAATTGACACGATAATCAGATTGACTTAATTCTGTATAACCACGCAACAGTCGTACGGCTGATAGCAACGTTTATATGCATACTGTTTTCGTTATGAAAAAGAAAGTTGTTTGTCGTTTACATTACATAATTGTCTTTGGGGTCTATCGATCCTCCACGGATTACATCATTCATGTCACTAGAATTATTTAATAAACGTTGTATTGCGATGTCTCGCAGTACCTTGGCTGAGGGAAACTTACAGATAAGGATGGTGAAAATTATAATATTTGGACATTCGTGAAAATATTTCTTTTCTCATACTGGACAGTTCTAGCCATATTATTAAAATTATTATTTTCTTGTATTTGTTTGGTACTTTATGCTAGAGCGACAAGTATGGTCAAATGCTTGATACATAGTGCATCGACATATGTTTCTTTTTTCATTCTACTTCAACCCACGTATTTCCACAATAAAATACAATTCGTATCTTAAGACACGTTTCCTTATTTTCCAATTTATAGTTGTAAATTTATATTTTGAGCAGTATTTCGTGCCTCTTATCGAAATACACGCTTTGATAGGTTATTACCGAAGTCATTACATTCGATACGGTGCTCTACTAATATACTGATATAAACATTTACTTGATCATAAACACACGTCTTAATTGCATGATTACCTCGTAGAAACTGTTTCCTGTAATTTAGCTACTTTTTAAATCCGTTTCCGTATTGCATATTTTTTTAGTATTAAAAATTGTCCGTCTAATTGGCATATGCTAAATTGAAAATAAAATTTAAACGATACGAACAACGGGGCTTACTAATTTAACACTAATTCTCCGTGCGTAATTACTTCCTGCTAGTACTTCTATTTCAGATGAAGTTATTTTTCATTTGATTTTATTTACATTAATTACTTTCTGCCTTCCCCTTTCTGATAACGTAGACAGCCAATAATTCACTAACTTCGTAATAATATTTCCACTGATGAAGTGATTTTTATGTGTTATTTATGTAATTTCTACATATTATCAATATTTAATTACTTTATCAGTTTTTGAACTGACAGAAAACCGATTCAAGCAGAAGGCCACAATAAAACACATTTTTATGATTTAAAGAGTTTCTATTGTGCTCGTAAGTAAGTCTTATATTGAGAAAAAACACTTCAGTAGTGATGAATATTTTTTCGAATAGTAAAAATACAAAAATGTAAGGAGGTATCTTGATTTAAACAATAAATGTCAAATAGTAAATACTGAATAGTAACCAATAAACGATAAATAATGAACAATAAATAGTGCATAATAAGTAATAAATTAGAATTATCCTTTCTTTACATTCCTTTCACTATCGGTGAAAGCATTGTTTACATTCCACACATACTACAAGCGTGCATATAAGTATTTAAATTTAGCTCTGGTCGGATTTTCCGATGAAAAACTTTCTTCCGTGAGTAGTACACTGATTTGTGAAAGGAAAATATTTAGCAGGAAAAAAATGACTGCATCTGAGTTTGAAAAATCAATTCCATTGTACGTCATGAAGTCACAAAAAGTGAAAATCTTCCTAGAATGTCCGGGCATACGTATATTACTCTATGGCATTCGACATAACAGGAATAAAGGTCAAGTGAAACGATTTAACCCGATGAATTTGAGGCAAAAAAAGGACGAATTACGAAAACTGGTAGCACTCACACTTTCACTACTTATTAGCACAAGTACTTAGTGTTTACTGACGTCTCACGTAGTTCCGCGTCCGAGAAAGTCACAAGACGCATTTCTTCGATACACTGTGATATCATACTTTATAATATTTTATTATATGATGTCAATACAAATTACAATCCTGGTTAAAAATATTAAACGTGAAGTTCATGTGACTTCAATTTTCTTATATCTCAACATCATTCACAAAGGCTATTATTTATAAATGATTATATTACATTCCATATAAACAAATTTTGTTGCATTTATGATAGATAAATGTTTTAAGCAAAGTGTTTTCTTTTATTCCAATTCAAAATTGATTAAAACTGACATTTATTTTCAAAATGTCTATCTCATTATCCTGACTAATTTTTCTTTATTAATTTTCATTCAGCTTTGAGAAACATTATATATTTGTGACGTTTATTATAATATTATTATATTATTACGATATTATTATGATATAAAATCATTGCTCTGTAATTTTATGTTCACTATTTCCGCGTCTACAAAAAATACTACGTAAAGCGTTAATATTTGTTTATTAAAATATAAACTATATTTATAAAATTTAATAGTTAAAGTGCAAAAGCATAATTTTGAAAATAGTAATAAATGTCTTGCCGTATGTACGGGTAAAACTAGTTTTAAACTAGTTTTAAGAAACCATTAAGAAAATTTTACTCGCGAAGGTGAAAATTAATTACTAATAAATAAATGAAGATGTGTATAATAATAATATGTCCAGAATATGATGATTATTTCAAGCTAAAATGAAATTACACATTTCTACAAAATAGAAAGTGATGATTTGGAGGAACATTATTAATATATTCAATACAATTTATGTAATGATTCTATACCCGATTTTCGAGGAAGTATGTTTTATTTCTCAGATAATGTAGCACATTCTGATGAAAATTCAATTAACCGGATAATGAATACATTCATTACTTCCGTTTGAACTTTCATTTTTGCTTTCAGTTGCAGAGTGAAAATAAATTGTAAAGCAGTTAAATATGCATTTATTTAATACCAAATACAATTTATTGGAAAGTATGTAGGATGCACAATAGGAAGACTTCATAATTAACGTGGTAGGTAAAATAACGATATAATGCAGTATGAACGAAAATATTTATAAAGCGAAGAAAATTTCGCAAAATTAATATTCTACATATTCTTTCGTACCACAAACGTGTAGGTAATATAAATCATTCATTAAGAATGAAATGATGTTACGTTCAATTTCTTGAGTATCTAGTTTTCCGATTACCGAAGCAATTTGGTAATTAACTATCTATTATTTCCACGTACATTATTAAATTTATTAGTATTGTTCAATATAGAATAATTAAATATATTATAATTGTCAATCCTAAGGTACTATTAGAGTTAAAAAACTTTGCAGTTAATATTTTTCAGTTATTATTAATTATACTTTTGCTATTTTCATTTAACTAATCGGACACAAAGCTTCGTTTGAATAACAATGTTAAACTGTATGATATGAGACAAATTGATGAAAACGCATTAGTTCTAAACTAATTTGAATGTCGCGTGCTTCAAAACAAAACGCTAGTCTACATGAATTGATTAACATTTTAAAGGAATGAACAGACGTAAGTGTAAAGAAAAATTCCACTTTATAATTCATCGCGTGCTACTACTACTGCTACCTCTTTAGCATACGACCTTTTAGTGCCGTGAATCAAGTTCAGATTACTGTTATATACTTCCGTAAAATTCAAATAACGTTCATTAAGTTATTCAAAGTAGAAGAATATTTACATCGCTATATTTAGTTTATTTCAATTTTAAATTTCTTTAGTAGAGCGGACACGTAACAGTATCTACAATTCAAATACAATTATTGTTATATTAGTGGCTCTGTTAATCGCATATTGACACTAACAAGTCATTGTTACATTTAAATTCACTGACTATCAAATCTTATCGATTGAAATGTCGAAATATTATATAAATTGTATTTATATTGCTATGATACTTAGATTGTTTGAATTTTAATATCTTCTTCAGCTCTTCTTTCTTTCTACTTCGGAAATATTATGCCATTATAATATTTGGATATAATTATCCATCAAAGTAATGAAAGACAAAAAGAAAATGAAAAAAACATAATTGTAATGTATAGAAAATATAACCATGCAAAACAAGAGGAAAAAAGTAATTTTTCAAAAAGTGAATAAATTGAAACTTTTCTTAGTACTTTAAAATGGATTAATGTATACATATTTCGAAAGAAGTTATTTCTGGTTTCTAGTTTATGTTTATTTTCAGTACATCAAAAAATAATGATTGTAGTAATAAGAAACACAAGATCCTATAGCATTTTATAAAAAACACAGTATTGGTAGTATACGTGTTAATAAATTTCTCTAACCAATTTTCTTGACGACACAGCACGGTATACAGGGTGTTTTGTTTTTATTAGTTCACCAGAGAGTGGCACTATGTGCTGCAGTTAAAAATAAGGAGAAAATGTTAAAAAATGAAAACGAAAGTGCTAAAATTATAAATGAAAGCTTGATATTTATTTAACTGTGATATAAATTTAACTGTGTTAATAAAATTGTATTTATTATTAAGTTATTGTATATTTATACAGAAGAAAGTAGACTCAATTTATAGAAAATGCTGATCTTGTTTCTAAAAAATGCACAAAACTTTGAACAGGAACCATTAGTTCCACCAGAGAAACATTACGATCCTATTTATGTAACGTTTTTCTCTAATTTAAATAATCTTTAAACATAGAGTATATTGACAGAGTTTAATAGAATGAAACTAAAATACCCTGTATATAACAAATTTTACCGTAGCTTTCCTATTTTATTGTGACGCAACAGTGAAATTCGTGCGGGTCGCCTACGGGGTTATCTCTAGGTCTCGCAGTGATTTATGTCAGTCATTCAAGAAGAAGAGTGGTGACTCAAATCTCGACCACCGTAGTAAAATCTTTTTCAGGACACATGAATGCTATTACTAACATGGGAACATCATTATGTACTTCTTATTCAAACTGTTGTAATTTTCACCGAAATCTTGCACGTCTCGCATCATTTAAAAAGTTTCTTAGAAAAGTTTTTAAAAAACTATGAATATTACTTTTATCGTCTCTCTATCTGGAAAAATTTTTATAAAATGCGAATAAGGTAGCTCAATTTACATATTACATTATATTTGTTCATTGTATATTAAATTAAACATTTCGTTGAAATTATTATAAGATACAGAGACTCCTTCATCTATTACTTTTAAGTCCTTACAGATAACAGATACTACAGAACCCTACAACATCAATTTTCCTAAAATTGACAAATGGTATAGAAATCGATATTTTCAATAACTTTCTTCTCTAACAAAAATATTGCACCTGTTCAGGTTTCGAAATAATCGAGGAACTTTCTCCACCACTACACTGAATGCTGTGTACTATCCTCAGACGACGTTTATTCCGACGTCCGACAAACTTAAACAGCAGTGCGGCGAGGGGAAGACGTCCACTCGCGATGAACGTTGACGCCTCGGCTTCGACCGCTTTTGTTATTGGCTGATTCGTGTCCAGTGCGTTATTCACGCGAGTCAAGCCGATCAGTGGTTCAAAATTGAAGAGGGGCAAGGGGAGACGTCCATTGGCGGTGCTCGGTCCGACAGTAATGGTGGAATTAGTTTTTTACTGGCCGAGTCTCCTTGCCCCTCTTCACTTTTGAGCCAAAGGCTGGTTTGGTTCACGCGAGTAACGCACTGTAAACCGAAGATCGCAAGTGAAACAGAATACGACAGAGATACTAATTAGGACAGTGACATCGAGGGTCGAGACGCGGGACTTCAAAGCGATGCACGAGTCATATGTAAACATGCAATAAGGGAAATATCAATTTTATTCATCTCAATCTTACTTTTTCAAGTAAGAGTAAGTGTCAGTGGATTGTTGAGATTGTTGCGATTAAAAGAAGTTCAAACACGATGTAAATTGGACTAATTTTATCGATTTTAAGGAAATGAACGTTTAGTTTTGTTTATTACATTAGGTCGGTAAAACTAGACCTGTTTACATCGTGTTTGGACTTATTTCAGTTACAGCAACTCTGACGATTCATTGATACTATGTTTGTAAGCACTGTTCTTATATGAATCGTCAATACGTAAATGCCAGAATGTAAATTACAACAAAAATATTAAGAAACATTTCACTGTTCACATTACATTAAGTGACTCCTCGAGAAAAATATCTTTTGTAAAATGTTTTTGAATTAATTAAGTATTAATATTACAATGTTATCAATAATATTAATTATTAATATAAGTAACTGTAATACCAATGTTTAATTAATCCAAGAAGATTTCACAAATGCTCTTTTTTATCGAGCACTCAGATAGGAAATGTCGCATAAGCCGAGAATCTCTGATTTTTAACATCATTAGCTAATAGCCTGTGACATTATAATAGTGCAGCAAATGACATAGCTAGAAAAAAACGCATCCAGAACACACGTGCGGATAAACAACACGTTCAAATGTCGATCACATCGTATAGATGTTATTCTTAGAATCTGCATAGATGCAAATAATGTGCAAAACAGCGGTTAGTTTTAGACACAAGAAAATGTATAATTAATACTATGTAAATAATCCAGAAATATAGAACCAGTATTCATATAATACATTTAAAAAAGAAGCGTTGAATATCAACGTGTCATTGTAATAATCTTAAAATAGTAAAAAAAGTGTGATCCGTGCGTATCATGCAATAATTCATTACGATTTTCATTTGCAATCAGTTGGATCTATGAAATATTAAAAACAATTGTTACGAATATTGTCTTATTAATGGTCCAAAATTAATCAAATCAAATACTTATTGTAAATAGTGCGTCACCATGTTAGTCAAAACAAGTTGCATATGAATTGTTTTATATTATTGTTATTCTATCATTATATGCGTGTGTAAACTTAAGGTATAGTTTGTAAATCTAAGAATTAAGTAGTAAATTATCTCCTACGATACATCATAAAAGTTTATTAAAGTCAGTGCTGAAACTTTTAACACGCAATTAATAATTTTTTTCAATGCCTTTCATATGTTTTTTTCACTTACATGATGACTGTTCCCATATGTTCATATATTCAATCATATTTTATGGTAAAAATTATGAAAAATTGAAGATTGCACCTTATTATAAACAAGGGAAATTTGTCTCCTTTTTAAAACATTGATGTTACCTGTAGTCACATATAAGATAATCTTCAAACAATGATTCAGATCGTAGTTTAAACACAGATAATGTTGTAAAGAATCGTTTCAAAGTGTAACATTAGAATCTGCAAAATACAGCTTAAAAATCAAAAATTAATTCCTTCTCATATCTTATGATTCAGTTATTTCTATCAAATTTCAATTTATTATTGAATATGAGATTAATTTTATTAATTGTGAAAGCAAAATGGAACCGCATATATAAATTTAAAAAAATTTGTCACTAATACAAGTCTCCGTACAATCCTGTGGCTCACGTGTAACGTTACTGTCAAATGCTGCCCCACCAACATTGAAAACATCAAACATTTCCTCTACAAAAACAGGAACGTGTATTACTTGGAAATAATGTTTTTTGTGAATTCTGACATTTTCCTCTTATATTAGATTCAGTGACTTTTAAGTTCTTCTTATGAACAAAAAGTTCATTATTCCAATTTCCCCCACACGACACTCCATAATTGAACATCTTCCCAGTAGATTTGATAATTCTTAGATTTCACATTGTTTCATTATCCATAGTGTCATTTTTACGTAATGTAGTTCTTATATTGTAACGTTATTTACCAGTGTTTGAACGATAATGTCAATAAGATGTTCCAAGATGATGTACGTATATTCAGTTACAATGACGTATTCTATGACGCGCAGTGTTTGTTCCCACAATAAAAATATAGAGTACAACAAATTAGTATTCACCATTTATTTCTACGCAATTTATTTCGTAAGTGGCGGTTTTTGTTACTTACGTTAAAAAAACAATGGCTTCACACTTGAACCCATAGTACTCACCAAAAGAGGGAGAGAAGTAAAAAATACGTAAACAATATAAATCCTAAAAGCAATCCTTTCAATGTAACATCAGCTTTTGCTACTTATTAACGTTCGATATCATAAGCGAGTGGTACAAATCAGTTGCGATTTCCGCGGTAGCATAACAAACGTTAGCAACACGAGCTTTCTCTACTGAATGAATACTGAAGATTTGTACTACGTTTGCAACTATGAGGTAATCTTTGTTGATAATAAGTAGTAATAGGCTTGACTTCTGATCCATGAACTAACACTTTTAATTCCTTTATACCGGAAACAGTGTGCTGATAAATTATCGCGTGCCAATTGATGTTGCCGAACTCAGAACCGTCCTGCGCCCCGCGTGCTCCGTACCATCCCCTAAAATCTTGTATCGTGTTATTGCTTCGATACATTTTGTATACATTTCACGATAACACCATTTTGCTTTCATTCATCTTCAAAGTGTTGCTAAGAAATGCATGATATCAAGTGCTAGTAAGTAGGCTAATAAATAGATCTTTATGTGAAATTGTAACTTTCCGAAGTAATCTAACGCGCTCAGCGCCGTGCGTATCGCCAATGGGACTTGCAGGTCAAAAAAAATGTAAAATATGTTAAAATGTATAAAAATTATTAGAAACTTGTAGAATATAGTTAAATATTTTGTTTAAAAGATTAATAGACTAAACAAGGTTCAAGTAGAAACTGGTTCCTTCTCCTGAGAATTATTATAAATTTAATGTACAGTAACAACATGCTTAAATTTGTATGCTTAATTCTTCAACAATTAAGTAATAAGTATACACCTAACCCTCGGTAGATTTACACGGTAGATTGGTTCCCCGAAAGTGTTGTGTAAATTGAAATCGTGCAATTCGAGTCCAGAATTCACATTGAAAAGAAATACACATGTAATAAATGTAACAAATCCATATGCAAGAGTATTACTTATATTTTTGTAAAATAAAAAATGATGTACATATTTTTAAATAAATATTCAATAATCCAACAAGATTGCATGTGTAATTCACAAAACAAAACAAAGTTAATGTAATGTTTTCATTTGTCTAATTTGACTGTGTTAAAGTAAAATGCAGGTGCAATTCGAATGCCCTGTAAATCGAGAGCTAAGTGTAGTTTAAATTAAATAAATATCTCTATTTATTTGAATAAAGAAGGAAGCTAGGTCCATAAATATTAACAATACTGTTCCAACTAAAGACGAAGTATAAAGAGACAATTGTGCTTCCTGATTTCAATTACCAATCGATTATTGCAACAGTGTTGTCCACATTCTCTGGTACCTGTATAATGCAATGAAAGCAGTGCACCCATTATTCTGCAGCAATAAAAGGATCTATATCCCTTTCACATAGAGCACCAAGCATGAAAACAATCGAGTTTTCCCTGAACCAAATTCATTATTTATTATCTGACTGAAAGGCTGGGCTTCATTCGGGTGTACTACTATGCGATAACCAATCTATTAAGCACCTGAATAATAAACAGATACTGCTAACCATAAGACAATCTTAAAATTGAAAGTTTATGTTTTTTCGAAATAGATTGTTATGTGAATTGCACATGAGAGATGCAGAAAGTTGGCAAATATTTTCATATTTCTTCCACAAAAAATTAGAAATGATATTATGAGTTATTCTCGATAAAAATTCTGAGACTGCTCAGGGGTAAGATAGGTCTCGCTATTGAAATGAAACTTTGTACTTATATTTCCTATAACTGAATACTTTGCTTTTGCAATGTTCTATATTGTCCTATGTTTCAAAAAATGAAATGGTTGATGCAAGTAGAACCATGAGTTAACTCGTGACCAGTCAACAATGTGTTGATGTGACACTTTTGTATGTTCTAAATGGCAGTAGAGTAATACTTAACTTGAACAAAAGAAAAAAGAGTAATATTAATATAATTTATTCTTAGGGAATAATAAATATTCAATTAACAAAAGATATTTGAAACTTCTGAGGGGTAGCAAATGTTTACTACTTTACAAAGATTCCATCATTAACTTACAATTTCTCCTATAGAAAACCAAAACTAATTTTATTTGCTTGGTATTCCATTAATTAGAAATTAGTGTACGGAAATAGAGTTGGTGAATGAATCTTAGATAACGTTGACTATATTACCAATATAATTATACGAATAAAAATATTGTAAGGATTAATAGATTTTCACTGATAGAGTAACAATAGTTCTTTGAAAACGTGTTCACGTAATGTTCTTGTAATCGTTTCTATATTGTTGTGTAAGAACAATTCCCTGAACTAGTGAAACCGTTCATCGATAGAAATGTTTAAAGTTTAAACATTTCTTAGGTGGAATTTTACGATTTTTATAATTGGACTGTAATTTACGATCTCTTCAATGAATTACTATATAAGTGCCGTCAATGAATGACGTGAA